AGAGATGAAAGTTGTGTTGGAATATATGATAGAGACATTGAATCAGTCTGCCTTGTAGGACATGGGTCTTTCATACCAAGACCTCCTGTCCTCTGTTTTGTTTCAGCAAATGATCATGTCAGTCATACGACTCATCCTTGGTCGGGTAATGACGGTAGACATAAATAGTGAGCTCTGTAAGGTTTTAGATTTAGATTTAGATTTACATCATTTAGCAGACGCTCTTATCCAGAGTGACTTAAAAATTGGTGCATTCAACTTTTTTTATGGGGGGTGGGGGAAGAAGGATTACTTTATACTATTCCAGGTATTCCTTAAAGAGGTAGGGTTTCAAGTGTCTCCGGAAGGTGGGCAGTGACTCCGCTGTCGTGGGGGAGCTTGTTCCACCATTGGGGTGCCAGTGCAGCGAATAGCTTTGACTGGGCTGAGCGGTAACTGTGCTTCCGTAGAGGTAGGGGAGCTAGCAGGCCAGAGGTGGATGAACGTAGTGCCCTCGTTTGGGTGTAGGGTCTGATCAGAGCCTGAAGGTAAGGAGGTGCCGTTCCCCTCACAGCTCCGTAGGCAAGCACCATGGTCTTGTAGTAGATGCAAGCCTCAACTGGAAGCCAGTGGAGTGTGCGGAGGAGCGGGGTGACATGAGAGAACTTGGGAAGGTTGAACACCAGACGGGCTGCAGCGTTCTGTATGAATTGTAGGGGTTTAATGGCACAGGCAGGGAGCCCAACCAACAGCGAGTTGCAGTGATCCAGACGGGAGATGACAAGTGCCTGGATTAGGACCTGTGCAGCTTTCTGTGTAAGGTAGGGTCGTACTCTGCGAATGTTGTAGAGCATGAACCTGCAGGATCGGGTCACCGCTTTGATGTTAGCGTAGAACGACAGGGTGTTGTCCAGGGTCACGCCAAGGCTCTTTGCACTCTGGGAGGAGGACACAATGGAGTTGTCAACCGTGATGGCGAGATCATGGAGCGGGCAGTCCTTCCCCGGGAGGAAGAGCAGCTCCGTCTTGCCGAGGTTCAGCTTGAGGTGGTGATCCGACATCCACACTGATACAGTGAGGGAAAAAAGTATTTGATCCCCTGCTGATTTTGTACGTTTGCTCACTGACAAAGAAATGATCCGTCTATAATTTTAATGGTAGGTTTATTTGAACAGTGAGAGACAGAATAACAACAACAAAATCCAGAAAAACGCATGTCAAAAATGTTATAAATTGATTTGCATTTTAATTAGGGAAATAAGTATTTGACCCCCTCTCAATCAGAAAGATTTCTGGCTCCAAGGTGTCTTTTTATACAGGTAACGAGCTGAGATTAGGAGCACACTCTTAAAAGGAGTGCTCCTAAACTCCGCTTGTTACCTGTATAAAAGACACCTGTCCACAGAAGCAATCAATCAATCCGATTCCAAACTCCACCATGGCCAAGACCAAAGAGTTCTCCCAAGGATGTCAGGGACAAAATTGTAGACCTACACAAGGCTGCAATGGGCTACAAGACCATCGCCAAGCAGCTTGGTGAGAAGGTGACAGTTGGTGCGATTATTCGCAAATGGAAGAAACACAAAATAACTGTCAATCTCCCTCGGCCTGGGGCGCCATGCAAGATCTCACCTCGTGGAGTTGCAATGATCATGAGAACGGTGAGGAATCAGCCCAGAACTACACGGGAGGATCTTGTCAATGATCTCAAGGCAGCTGGGACCATAGTCACCAAGAAAACAATTGGTAACACATTACGCCGTGAAGGACTGAAATCCTGCAGCGCCCGCAAGGTCCCCCTGCTCAAGAAAGCACATATACAGGGCCGTCTGAAGTTTGCCAATGAACATCTGAATGATTCAGAAGAGAACTGGGTGAAAGTGTTGTGGTCAGATGAGACCAAAATCGAGCTCTTTGGCATCAACTCAACTCGCCGTGTTTGGAGGAGGAGGAATGCTGCCTATGACCCCAAGAACTCCATCCCCACCGTCAAACATGGAGGTGGAAACATTATGCTTTGGTGGTGTTTTTCTGCTAAGGGGACAGGACAACTTCACCGCATCAAAGGGAGGATGGACGGGGCCATGTACCGTCAAATCTTGGGTGAGAACCTCCTGCCCTCAGCCAGGGCATTGAAAATGGGTCGTGGATGGGTATTCCAGCATGACAATGACCCAAAACACATGGCCATGGCAACAAAGGAGTGGCTCAAGAAAAAGCACATTAAGGTCCTGGAGTGGCCTAGCCAGTCTCCAGACCTTAATCCCATAGAAAATCTGTGGAGGGAGCTGAAGGTTCGAGTTGCCAAACGTCAGCCTGGAAACCTTAATGACTTGGAGAAGATCTGCAAAGAGGAGTGGAACAAAATCCCTCCTGAGATGTGTGCAAACCTGGTGGCCAACTACAAGAAAGGTCTGACCTCTGATTGCCAACAAGGGTTTTGCCACCAAGTACTAAGTCATGTTTTGCAGAGGGGTCAAATACTTATTTCCCTCATTAAAATGCAAATCAATTCATAACATTTTTGACATGCGTTTTTCTGGATTTTTTTGTTTTTATTCTGCCTCTCACTGTTCAAATAAACCTACCATAAAATTATAGACTGATCATGTCTTTGTCAGTGGGCAAACGTACAAAATCAGCAGGGGATCAAATACTTTTTTCCCTCACTGTGTGTCTGCCAGACATGCAGAGATGCGATTCGCCATCTGGTTATCAAAAGGGGGAAAGGAGAAAATTAATTGTGTGTCGTCTGTGTAGCAATGATAGGAGAGACCATGTGAGGATATGACAGAGCCAAGTGACTTGGTGTATAGAGAGAATAGGAGAGGGCCTAGAACTGAGCCCTGGGGGACACCAGTGGTGAGAGCACGTGGTGCGGAGACAGATTCACGCCACCTGGTAGGAGCGACCTGTCAGGTAGGACGCAATCCAAGAGTGAGCAGCGCCGGAGATGTCCCAACTCGGAGAGGGTGGAGAGGAGGATCTGATGGTTCACAGTATCAAATGCAGCGGATAGGTCTAGAAGGATAAGAGCAGAGGAGAGAGAGTTAGCTTTAGCAGTGCGGAGAGCCTCCGTGACACAGAGAAGAGCAGTCTCAGTTGAATGACCAGTCTTGAAACCTGACTGGTTTGGATCAAGAAGGTCATTCTGAGAGAGATAGCAGGAGAGTTGGCTAGAGACGGCACGCTCAAGAGTTTTGGAGAGAAAAGAAAGAAGCAATACTGGTCTGTAGTTGTTGACATCGGAGGGATCAAGTGTAGGTTTTTTGAGGAGGTTAAGTTAAGTTTTATTCTCTAGAGACTCATCTAGATGTATTCTCCAGCAATCTCTGGATATTGAAAAAAGAATATACTCTAGTACAGGGGCGGACTGGCCTTCTGGCATTTTGGGCACATTTCTGATGGGCTGGTCCATTTTTAGCCTGTCTAACTTGGGGTTTTTGCACAAAATGATTATCTGGCTAATATTGGGGGCCTCAAGGAAAGATTTAGCTGGGTTGGGGGCTTCAAGGAATAAAATGGTCCGGTGTGTGTTAGAAATGCCAGAGCCGATTTCTGTTCCCAGTCCGCCCCTGCTATAGTGTAGTTTGCCCTCCCGTAGCTCCTTAAATTGGGAGACAGACTGGCATCTAGTCTGAGACAGTTGTTTAGCTGTCAGACACTCTGTCCTCTAGTCTCTTCATTAGAATAAACTCTTCTCCCAGTCCCCAAGCCTCTTTTATGCAAGTGCATGGCCAAACATTAATGATTAAAATACACGTTTTGTAATCCTATTCCCCATCGAAGGGACATTGATCCGTGCTCCAAGAGCCTATGTCTCCTCCCATGTGGAAAAATCTCATTACCAATCTCGCTGACTCGCAGGGAGCTGTTTACACGCCATAACAATTCTGCTGGAGTGGAACCAACAAGACAATTGCGCTGGGCCGTGTGGCCCGACAATATTGTATCTTCGCATCGCTCTCACTCTCTCGCTGCCTCTGCCCAACCCCCCCAACACACACACACACACACTTACACTGATCCACTCACTCACACGTTTAACCTCTTAAGTCATGTATCCTGCTGAAATATTTAAGGGCTCGTGTGAATGTGTCTTGATAGCTAGCACCACTCTCTTGCTACTCTCTTTTCCCATATTACAATATAATATATATATAGTATAATGCCTCTTTAAACGTGCTTGTTCCATTAACCTGAATTTAAGGCCACTATTATGGACTTCCTTTTTTCCACCGAGAAGGCCGCATCGCCGCACTTAGTCCATAATCCATTCAGTAGAGAATTTATAGTCGAGAAGTCATCGCTCAAAGAGAGGAAAGAAATCTGTATCTTTGCTCATCATCCCACCAGAAAATGATTGCTGCACGATCATTTGTGGCCGTAGGGAAAATTTGGATTCCGGCAAATCTGTGTTTGACTCTTTCATTTTAAACGGTCATTCTTCTGTTTCCAATGAGGGGAAAGATAAAGGAGAAATAAACGTCAGCTGACAAGGAATCTTGCACACACACACACACACACACACACACACACACACACACAGGCTAGCTGATGTTTTTCACTACTGGTACGAATGGCAAGGGTCATACAGTATGTCTCACCGCTCGCTGCCTGAGGTGTGTTTAGGTTTATTTCCAAAGTGAGGATACCGATATAATGTAATGACACGTGTTCAGGCAGTCGAGTGGCACTAGACTGACAATGGATTCCTCCCTCTCTCACCATGCTGGTGATTTCACCCTTGGCGGACGCTCAGGCGCCAAACGCCCACGGTCTCTCTACCCACCTCTGTGTATTTCGTGATAAATAAGACCCTGCTCTCCGGCAATCCTTGAGCACCAAGGGTAAACTCATCTGTGTCAGTTAGCGAGTGTCATCATTCAGCGCAACAATACAAAAGATGCTCCTGATTGGGTGACAGAATACTTGGAGCAGACATATCGCCAACAGATAGCCTCCTTTATTTTCAAGGGTGAAAAATACAGTTGTATTACTCTGAGGGACAGGAACGGCACATGCCAGGTGTGTAATATTCTTCCCATGCCAACTCCATTAGTTAGAATGCAGGCGTCATTGCAATTTTTAGAAAGCAGAGCTTTTTTAAAATTTCTCACATGGTAGGTGCCACAAAAGGCTCTCAAGTGTATAGAGCTTAGCAACTGCATTCAGGTCCAGACCACCTGGCAATAGAGGAGGCTGATACCTGAGATCATAACTAACACACACAGCACAACAACAAGGTTTTAACAAGAACCGTGAATGGATGGAGCATTATAAGTGACACAAATGCAAAGTTGAGTGAAATCGGAAGTGTGTTAACTTGGTCTCATGCAACTTTTATACTCCAAATACTGTTGTGTTGAGCTAACTGAAGATACTTGTATAGTCAGAAGATTTAATTTCATGCCACCTGGAAATACAGGGGGTGAATAATTGATCGTAACAAAATACTCAAACATTGTTAGCAGTAAAACAACTTATTTGAACAAATGACATGCCTATTTCAGCACAAGCAGTGTGGTGTAGGTGAAACGGAGTCTTGAAGAAACAGAACACTTTATGTTGTAGGACCCCATATCACTTCATATGACCTTGAGCACCCCATAGTCTTTCTCCTAGGGAGCCTCAACTTTTGTCTATGAAATTCAAATGGCGCAACATTGCCTCCTTGTCTCGGCTGTTTCTTTTCCCTCTGGAATATGACAGCTCTGAAAATAAAACTTATATCAGAAGAGAAAGATAAAGGACAACATGAAAGGGGCAAACAATCCCTTGAAAGTGCTCTGATGTTTCAGTAGTCGTTCAATGAAACCAGGAAGAGAATGTGCCACCTTATGAAAGGGTGTCCCTCTTTTCTTGTGGATAAATATACAAGTGAGTTGGAAAGGAAAAAAATGGTGCTTCTGATCATGGCAAAGTTGTACAGGAGTTATGCTAATGACAGGCATATACCTGTTGGCTAGACACCAAACGGAAGGCTAACATGCAGCTTAACGCTATTCTCTGAAGGCACATTAGTGAGGACTCTATTAATTAAAAGGCGTAGTTTAGATATCATGTCAAGGATTGGAGATGGAAGTTAATTTATGAGTTATGAAAGACTGAATCCCTTGAGGAAGCAGCGCTTTTCTGATAAGGCTGTCAAGAAAATGGTACATTGGACCACTCTCCTAAACTGTATCTACAAACACCATTTTGTTATTTTTATCTTGGCAATGAACTTGCCAACATACTTTATAATGACCCAGCTCAATACTCCTCAGTCTCCCTGTGTACTAACAACCAGCAGCCATGCCAGAAACATTGTAATATGAAATTAATTGGGAGAAATCGTTGACGCCGGTGATCTGGTGGCCATGGGAACCGGTGCTGTGCCTCGAGCTTGGTCGCTATCATCGTCAGATGTACTAGTGTGTCCATCGCCAGGGGCGACAGAGAGGTGTCATCTGAGCTTTTTGAGGTCAAGAGCCTCTGTCTTATTAATACTACAGCTAGGGAGAGAGGTAAATCATTGGATCGTAGTTTTCTGTGTAATTATATAGAGGAAGCTAGTCCGGCGGAGGACCCTGGCGTGAGAGACTGACTCACCTTGGATGACAAGCTGGAGCGACAACTACAGTGAAACTTGTGTACAGCAGCAGAACATCTGATCATATGCTTGTTAAGCACAAACTGGTTGCATGTATAGAGCTCTTCAACGTCTCTCTTGCTCACCACCTGAGTAGATGGCACTTTTAGGTTGAAGGCCTCAGATCCTTCCGAGCATTGTAAACAGTAGGAAGAGGTTGAATGTTTAAGGCCACAGCTCTGTTTTAAAGTGGACTAAATAAACAACAGTCTTTGCCCCAACATGGTCCTCCAATCATCGTCAGACTTCCATTCAAAGCTAACTCTTCTTGTTTCACCAACCCTTTCACCATCTTAGGTACTGGCTTGGTAATTAGAATTTGAGAACTTTTTCAATAACGGCCCTCAATCCCAAAAATTTGTATGGTCAAGGGCGTCCATTTGTTGCTACTGGATTTGTCCATAGTGTACCCTTCACTACCTCCAGACCGTATCGATTCCTCCCACTCCTCCTTCCGCTCTGCACTCTAGCCCTGAAAGGCCAACGCCGGCACACAAATGGACTAATGAGTTCTGCCAATGAGAAGCTGAAGCCCTATGTGCTAGGCACTTCAACGTTGCCATGGCAGAGCGCGTTCTCCAGGCTTTAATGGAAGTGGGGAAGGGAGGCCAGGGACAAAGTGGCCCCTCCCCTTGTTCTCTTCTCCACTCAGGATCAGTGTGCCTGGGGTCTCTATGACCCCCCCCCCCCCCTCCCAAATCCTTCACTCTCCCCATCATCTAGGCTTTTAGGGCATGACGGGGGATGTTAGCAACTGAACCTTCAGTAAGGAAATGCAGGGTTTCTGAAAAATATATAAATAGAGGTAATGGAGCTGTGTACATTAGTGACACTTGAGACTTTGAGATTTGCCACAGTGCTATTTGGGCATACTGCACTTAGTGAGGAGAATTTCAATGAGAATTCTGATTGTTGGTGGGCCGTACATTCTACTACACACTCTATCTCCCTGTTAGTTTTGTACATCACTCTTATTTAGTTTTGTACATCACTCTAATTTTTTTTAGAAAGAAACAACAATCGGCATATACAGTAACTACTGTAGAGAGAGATCTAGACTTGCATCTCAGCTCCAGAATACCAGTCTGTGTAGATGATGAACACCTAGTAGATGAGCCAGAGCAACGGCCGAGGGCCTTTTGCAGTTAAACAAACACCACGCTCCGCTTTTTGTCCATTTTTAAAAAAGTGTTGAAAGGCCCTTTAAATGAGCTGAGAGAGCGCCAGGGTCTTTCAGTGCTTTGTCCACAGAGAGGACCCATAGAAATAGAATGAATAGAACAGGCTTGGAACCTCTAACCATGGCAACTTGAATGGGGATGCCTTTTCTATTCATTCTATTTCTATGACTGAGTCGCTATTCGGCATGGGTTGCCAGAATGGGAGAGGTTCTCTTAATGTCACGTTGTGGTTATTCATGAACTGTTGTTCTGACTGAGGCGGACATCTTCTCTTCCCTTCTATCTTCCTTTGTCATGGTCTTGTTATGACGGATACAGGCTGTGTTAAAGTATCAGCAAACCTTGAGTCAGTGTCGCCGTAATCACAGCAGTGGTAGACCACCATCATGAAGGCTTGGATACAGTAATTAACGTACAGTATGTGCTGTGTTCGACGTGTTGAGGTCATATTTCCTGTCTCTGAATCCAACAGCTGGCCAGGTTATCTTCTACAAACACGTAGCCTGCTGATTAGGCCATACGTAAATCATTGAAAGCAGCACCTATTTTACTGTATCGAACCTCCAACTGTCAAATGTGTTCATGACATGGCCGTTCAGAAACTGTGTGTACTGGATTACCTCACCTAATGACCTGCCCTGTCTAATTCATATTTAAGACATAAATAACTGTCCGAATTTAGCGGTTGCAACTCACGCTCATTTAATACTCAGTTTGAATCGGTGGCATCTTAAATACACTTGATTTCTAGTCAAGTTTATTCATGTCATCTATAGGTATTAATGTGTTCAGTAGAGGTTTCACTGACTAACCCCCCCCCCCCCCCCCCCCCAGGCTCGGCCTTCATGATGGTCAACACCAGCGGACGTTCCTCGGGCCAGAAGGCCCAGCTGCTCATGCCCCAGCTCAAAGAGAACGACACCCACTGCCTCATCTTCCAGTACTATGTGGCGGGCCAGCGCGAGGGTGCCAACCCGGGCCAGCTCAACATCTACGTCAAGGAGAACAACAGTCCGCTGGGCATCCCCGTGTGGAACGCCTCGAGGCCCGCCTACCCCACCTGGCGCCAGGTGGAACTGGCTGTCAGTACCTTCTGGCCTAACTTCTACCAGGTGAGATGGGATGGGGGTTAGTAAGATGGGGCTAGGGCCGGGGCTAGGGATAGAGAGGGGCTATAAAAGGGGCACATAGAACAGGGGGTAGGGTTGTCTTTAAGGGCCCTACTGTTCAGGAAATGTAAGGTTTTGTTCAAGTCAAAGTCCTGTTGTACTGTGGCCAGTTAGGAAACAGTAGAGTGTTGTTTTGCTCTGGGGGGGCTGTACATCCAGACTGATGTAGCGGTAACATGGGTGGAGATGAGAACCCATCAGACCCCAGACATGTCCCAGCAAGAGATCCATCTTTAAACACCCTTCATTAGCATGGCATAATAATATTCAACTCTGTCAGTGTCCATGTTTTGTCAGTGCAGCTCTATGGCAGTACAGTAGATACAATCTCCCAAGGTCTCTGGAGGTCAAACCACTTTCTAGCATCACTCTCCAATATTTTCTCGTGCCGTCAGGCTGCGGCACTGTGGATTTCCAGCCCAGGAAATTTACGCTCACGCCAAATGTTTGGTTTCCTCCCACACAGGGTCACAGACACACACACACACACACACACACAGGGTCAGCGTTGCCAGTGTGTGCTGAGCGACCCGGCATGTAAGCCAGTCAATATGTCATCTGCCCCACGGATGACCCTCAGATTGAAGACTGGTGGTGTGTATGTGGAGGGGGGTTGGGGACGCGCCATCCTCCCACTAACACACAGTGTTCGCTGTTAGACACGTTTTGTCACACAATGTAAACACACACGCCTGTGAGGTTTTCCTTAGAGAGACTGGTGGTAAAGAGTGATAAATACATCTCCACGTTCCCCAGAGAAATCACCTCCATCTGTTTCACAGAGGCACTAGGCAGAAGGAGCATCTCTCTCTCTCTCTCTCTCTCTCTCTCTCTCTCTCTCTCTCTTCTGCCATCCCGAGAAACGAAACTGAGCATAATTTGCGAGGAATGCAAAATTGTGACTTCTTGTTACCCCCTGAGATCAACACTGGAAAAGTGTCATCTTCAAAAGCTCAATACACAATTAGCAATGTAGCAAGTAATTAAGGGGTTTCTGTAATTGCATAGTATATTTAACTGTTTGTTAAAATGAAAACCACCTGGGATACAGAACTTACTTTGTCTCTTATTTTGTAATTACAGCGTATGGTTTTCTCTTCCCTCTGTTTACAATGCAAGTCCATCAGCACAGGTCTTGTTCCATAGCAATGTTTGGGTCGCTCTTGAGAAACTTTAAATTGATTACGCCTTGCATTTCGAATATGGTAATTTTCTTCCCCAGCCCGGCACACTCTGAACTTGATCCTGACATTTTGCATTGTTCATCTCCGCCTGCTCTGTTATTCCAATTCCATTTTTAGACACAATCACAATTACCAGGTGAACTGTAAAGGAACACAGCATAACTATTTAATGAGGGAGGGATGAGAGGGAGGGAGGGTGGGAGAGAGAGCCGGGAGGGTGAGCGAGCCGGGTGGGTGAGCGAGCCGGGAGGGTGAGCGAGCCGGGAGGGTGAGCGAGCCGGGAGGGTGAGCGAGCCGGGAGGGTGAGCGAGCCGGGAGGGTGAGCCAGGAGGGTAATCTCTTCTACATCTGTTATTATGCATGAGATCAGCCTTTTGTTCTTAGGAAGTTTCAAAAACTTAGTGACAAGACATTTAGTAAAAGATGTGGAGAATCTGAAGTTCCACTAAAGTGAAGTAAAGTAATATACAGAAATACACAAACACCAGAGGACCACTACTCACTTTAGATTACGCATTATACAAAAGAAAAGCAAACCTAGTTCTCCAGCACCCGCTAACCACATGAACGTTGTCATGGCTAATTGAGCTCATTAACGAGGTGCAGCTAATAAAGGAGCTGGACCAAAACACATGAGGAGGGCGGGGAGGAGGAGGGATGTTTGGGGGTCCGACGGGGTCGAGCAGGTTGCTTAGCATCACCACGGCGACAAACATTAACAACCTGTGGTTTAATCACCTCTGCGTCACGTCGTGACATTTCGCACGCTGGTGTTTACTTTTCATTTCCTTTTTGAAAATTAGGCGGTCGTAAAGGCGTAATTAGCGGCCGAGGCGTCTGCCATCGCTCAAAAGGAAGCGAGAGAGAGAGGGAGGGGGGAGAAGGACGGAAGTCTAAAACCCATTTGAATGGTTTTTAATAAAGGCATCTCGTTTGACCTCAGCTCCACAATGTTGTGGCTAATCACTCTCCTTTTGATCCTCTCTGGTTACAGTGCATTGGGACTGGTGTGGTTGGGTCCTCCTTGGTTACACACACAGGAAAGGCCATTTTTAAGCAGGTTCCATTGGACTAGGTATGGTCCCTCAACAATACATCCTACTTCAGCTAATGTGGTAGGCTTGAGGAGTGGAGTAAAGATCATTTAGACATCCAGTTCTGGGCTTTGGGCATCAGACTGGTATGAGGGATGCATGCACACAGTTATGGTCTGTATCCTAAATGGCACCCTATTCCCTATATAGTGCACTACTTTTGACAAGGGCCCTATATAGGGAATAGGGTGCTGTCTACCTCACCGTGAGGGCGGCAGGTAGCTTAGTGTTCAAGAGCGTAGTGCCAGTAACCGAAAGGTCGCTGGTTCTAATCCCCGAGCCGACTAGGTGAAAAATCTGTCTGTGCCCTTGAGCAAGGCACTTAACCCTAATAGCTCCTGCAAGTCGCTCTGGATAATCTGCTTAGATTTCTAATACATCACAAATCAAATTGTATTTGTCAAGTGCTTCATTAACAACAGGTGATGCTTACTTATGGGTCCTTTTCCAACAATGCAGAGATAAAGAGAAAATACTAATAATAGAAATAGTGACACAAGGAATAAATCCACAGTGAATAATGAATAACAAGGAATGTAAGCAGAAATCCTCTGAAGTGGGCCGCAAGGTCAGGAGTGTGAGAACCTGATTCGGCCCTCTCGATCCGTCACCGTGGTAACGCAACAGCGCTGACGCAGCACATTAAAGTGCCTTTGGAAAGTATTCAGACCCCTTCCCTTTTTCCACATTTTGTTACATTACAGCCTTATTCTAAAATGGATAAAATTATTATAAAATAAAATCCTCAGCAGTCTACACACAATACTCCATAATGGCAAAGCGAAAACAGGTTTTTAGACTAGTCAGGATCGAGGCAAAGATGAACGGAGTAATGTACAGAGGGATCCTTGATGAAATCCTGCTCCAGAGCGCTCAGGACCTCAGACTGGGGCGAAGGTTCACCTTCCAACAGGACAATGACCCTAAGCAAACAGCCAAGACAACGCAGGAGTGACTTCGGGGCAAGTCTCTGAATGTCCTTGAGTGGCCCAGCCAGAGCCCGGACTTGAACCCGATCGATCATCTCTGGAGAGAACAGAAAATAGCTGTGCAACAACACTCCCCATCCAACCTGACAGAGCTTGAGAGGATCTTCAGAGAAGAATGGGAGAAACTCCCCAAATACAGGTATTTTAAGCTTGTAGCGTCATACCCAAGAAGACTCGAGGCTGTAATCGCTGCCAAAGGTGCTTCAACAAAGTACTGAGGAATAGTTCAGTTTTTAATCTTTAATAAATTAGCAAAAACTTATAAAAACCTTTACTTTGTCATTATGAGGTATTGTGTGTAGATTGATGAGGGGAGAAAAAAAAAATCAATTTTAGAATAAGGCTGTAATGTAACAAATTGGAAAATAGTCAAGGGGTCTGAATACTTTCCGAAGGCACTGTATATTCCCTCGCAGGTGCAGCCGTTAAGAAAGAACACAGATACAGACAACCTGACTCCAGACAGACTCTATACCACTACCCTCCCCCCTCCTACATGTACTCCTGAGTGGCGCAGTGGTCTAAGGCACTGCATCGCAGTGCTAACTGTGCCACTAGAGATCCTGGTTCGAATCCAGGCTCTGTCGCAGCCGGCCGCGACCGGGAGACTCATGGGCGGCGCACAATTGGCCCAGCGTCGTCCAGGATGGGGGAGGGAATGGCCGGCAGGGATGTAGCTCAGTTGATAGAGCATGGCGTTTGCAACGCCAGGGTTGTGGGTTCAATTCCCACGGGGGGCCAGTATAAAAAAAATATGTATTCACTAACTGTAAGTCGCTCTGGATAAGAGCGTCTGCTAAATGACTAAAATGTAAATGTAAATGTCCTACCCCTGGGAAATGGAGGAGCAGACATCACTCTACTGGGAAATGGAGTAGCAGACATCACTCTACTGGGAAATGGAGGAGCAGACATCACTCTACTGGGAAATGGAGGAGCAGACATCACTACTGGGAAATGGAGGAGCAGACATCAGTCTACTGGGAAATGGAGGAGCAGACATCACTCTACTGGGAAATGGAGGAGCAGACGTCAGTCTACTGGGAAATGGAGGAGCAGACATCACTCTACTGGGAAATGGAGGAGCAGACATCACTACTGGGAAATGGAGGAGCAGACATCACTCTACTGGGAAATGTTTACTTTTACTTTCAAATGGTTAAGGTTGTATCTTTATGATGAGTGCATCCTCAAACTCTTTCTCACACCAGCAGTGAAAACATGGTTGAATTCCATTCAGACTGAAACAACACCGATAAAGAAGATCCTATAAAGAGGAGGAACTGGGAATCCAACCCATAGAACTTGCCTCATAGCTAACGCATGCTCTCTGGAAGCCATGATTCAGGAATATAAATAGACCCAGTCATCATAGACGCAGGCCAAGGAAAAGATCCATGTAACAGTAACCCAATCCTCTCTCCCCAGCCCCTTAACTCATGCCCCATGTTTGGAGCCTTAGCGCCTCGGCTCCTTAAACTGTTCCAGCTGCCAGCTTCTCCCTCACTCAACATACAGTGAATGGAAGCACAGGAGCCATCTCTGACTATTTTCTGTGCACTTGCACGTTCCGTCTCCAACCGATGCTTACACCCATCCAATGCTTTTAAATCCGTGATGGGGACTGTGTAGAGCACTGGGAGGTTAGGAGCCTTCTCTATGGCCAGCTTTCTAGATCACAGTAAGTGCACTAGGGATGCTCTTTATGTTTGTGCCAACTGCCAACCTCTCACCCCCCACTCTTTCTCTCCTCCCCTCTGCAGATTGTCTTTGAGGCGGTGAGCACAGGACAACGAGGCCTACTGGCCATCAAGGGCATCATCTTGCAAGGCCACCAGTGCAGTAAGTCTCCGCTGCTACACACACACACACACACACAGGGGGCCAGTATGAAAAATGTATGCACTCACTAAATGTAAGTCGCTTTGGATAAGAGCGTCTGCTAAATGACTTAAATGTAAATGTAGTCCTGTCCCATGTCACTGAGTTGTCACTCTTCAGCCCCCCCACCCCCCACCCCACAGCTCATCCTGTGACATGAATGAAGCCAGAATATACTACACAGCCAGTGAGACAAAGGCAAAAAAAAGGGGAGGGGAGCAAGCTTCCTGTCATTCTTCTCCTCCCCAGGAAAGACCCCCTGATACACAATCCTCCCCCAGATTTGTGAAATTCCGTGTGAGTAAGCTAGGCTAATTGCCTCTGATAGAACGCCCAGATCTGCTTAGCCATGTAGGCAGGTGCCGAGGAACACCACTCCACAAAGAATGTGTGATGATTCAGAGTGTGTAGATACGGCCCTCACACCGCGCACATTATGTTGACTGAAGATATAAACACGAGGAAACATCTCACATTTTTCTTCATCACATTTCAGTTTTGTTTAGTTGTGTTTTATTAACAACGTCACTGGGTAGAGTGGTGTGTGACTTTCCAAGGGCACTCAACCGATTACAAAGAGAGGTACTTAGCCTCATGAGAACGTTGACTTCTTTTTGAGTTTGGTCCTGGTCCACATTTTGTTTTCCAGGTGAAGCAAGGCAATACCATTAGCCCTCAGCTCCAAAGACTGGGGGAGTGCTGAGCTGGAAGATATCAGGGCTGCCGCGTTACTTCACAAGAGCTGTTTTAATTGCCTACCTGCAGAGTTCCGTGGCGTGTACTGTAGTGTACCTCGTCTCAGATATCAGAATCAAGGTCGTAGCCCGCCAGGGCCCGCCCACACGGAGAGACAAGGGGGAGCTAATTAAAAAGTCCTTTCCATAATTTGATTAGCATGGACTTTCATCCCTGCGTTAGTGAGGTGGTGATCCAACTTCCATTAGACATTCAAATTGAGTCAGATTGCCCAGCTATGTCGGCTTTGTTATTAGTTCAGCTGCTGGACTATTAAGGGGACAACCCCCCTTCACACACACAAACACACCGTATCAACAAGGCTACAAGGAAGCATGTATTGATCTCTGTAATGGGAATTTCAAGATGGAAAAAGAAAGGAGAGAAGTCATTGATGAAGTCAATCAAAATCAATCCAGTTTAATTATAAGTTGCAACAGGGAGACACGTCCAGCACAGAAGCAGAGAAAATGTCTAACTGGCCTTCACTAAGCAGGCTGTTACGTTCTAATCTCACAGTACCAATGTTCTGGAAACAGCCGCTGAGAGGCTTGTAGGAACTCACAACATCAGCTGCTACAGAATCAGCCGCGTTTCACAGAATACAATAACAATCAGGGTCCTTGTACCTCCAGTCTGGCGTCAATCACTGTCAACAGATATGAGCGCATTCCATAACATTCAGTAACAAATCGTGACCATCAACCCATACACAAATGAGTGTCACAAATAGAACACTGGAAATAAATTGTATTACAGAAAGGGAAAACATATAAATATGCTAAGCATTGTTAATTACTCTAAACTGAATATGAACTTTATTAATCTTACATTACCCCATTACACCGCAAAAACGCAGGGATCTCTGAACACAGGGGCGAGACATTTTTGGTTTTGGCCACGTTATATGGCCCTGTTTTGATCTGCTACCTGACCCCTACCCCCCCACCCCACTCGCCTTTCCCCCGCTATTGTTGCGTCTGTGAAAACTTTCTTCTAATATCCTTGAACTCTGGAGAGATTCGACAGGTTTGTACTTCCCCCGGCTACAATATTTTCACCATGGCTTGTTTCCCTGCCTCCTGACCTCCTCCTCACCACTGTAATATCCTGATTGAAAATGCTGTCCCAGAGACTCCTCCTGGGAAGAAGGTAAAAAAAAAAAGTATGGAATCCATTTTGTGATTGAATCTCGTCAGATTTCTCCCCGCGTGGCTCAAGAGATCAGACCAAGGTTAGGCCAACGTCGACAGAGAAGAAATGTGATTTGTTTTTGGTGGGATTAAAGGATAATAGGCCGTTTAGTATGACTTGCGGCAGATGCCATATACAAGCCCGGCCTACTGGATAGATTGAGAAATGGAAATTCTGAAGAAAAAAACGACTCAATTTAACCACGGTATGCTCAATATGAATGGAATGAAAACGTTAGACTCAAACTAAATTCAACTGATAGTGGATGAGACAATAATACATGCATATACTGTATTTAGCATGCTTAATATGGCTTTGGTTATTCATGTATGTATATCTCTTTTGCAGTGAACACCCCACACTTCCTCCACATCAAAGGTGTAGAGGTCAACGCCAGGCAGACCGCCACTTTCCAGTGCACAGTCAACGGTCGACCACAAGTCAGCCACAACCTCTGGTTACAGGCGAGTCCATTTTGACCTTAAACAGTCCTATGGGGTCATTTTAGATCTTTAGTGCCACAGTGTTGGTGTCACATGAAGGCAAACTGCCATTACCAGACTAATTGTGTATGGCACATCTTCTTGAACCTTGGTTGACCTCTGGACCTGAAATGAGAGGCTCTGTGTTTTCCACCTTTCTCCATGACATTACTGTGGAGCGGAAAGATCCAGACCTCTACCTACCTAATGAGGGCCCTAATCTGAACAGACCTCTACCTACCTAAATGAGGGTCCTACTCTGAACAGACCTCTACCTAGCTAATGAGGGCATATCAGTGTGTTATCGGTAGGTTGACAGTGTGTGAGGTAGATCAGTGTGTTATCCGTAGGTTGACAGTGTGTGAGGTAGATCAGTGTGTTTCCGTAGGTTGACAGTGTGTGAGGTAGATCAGTGTGTTATCCGTAGGTTGACAGTGTGTGAGGTAGATCAGTGTGTTATCCGTAGGTTGACAGTGTGTGAGGTAGATCAGTGTGTTATCCGTAGGTTGACAGTGTGTGAGGTAGATCAGTGTGTTATCCGTAGGTTGACAGTGTGTGAGGTAGATCAGTGTGTTATCCGTAGGTTGACAGTGTGTGAGGTAGATCAGTGTGTTATCCGTTAACTAATGCCTTTCATCCTTGTTAAGGCTGGAGATGAAACACTAAGCATTAAGTGAAATCCCCCCTGGTGACAGTAATGAAGAAATATTCCTGACAAACAAATGGCCCCCATCTGGCATGGGTGTGTGTGTGTGGGTTTTGTTGGCCTGTGTGTGTGTGTGTGGTTTTGTCGGTCTGTGTGTGTGTGTGGTTTTGTCGGCCTGTGTGTGTGTGTGGTTTTGTGTCGGTGTGTTGTGGTTTTGGTCGGCCTGTGTGGGTGGGTTTTGTCGGCCTTGTGTGGGTGTGGTTTTGTCGGCCTGTGTGTGTGTGGTGTGTTGTGGGTGGTTTGGTCATCCCTTTGTGTGTGTTGGTTTGTCGTGTGTGTGTGTTGTGTGTGGTTTGTCGCTTGATCGTGTGTGTGTGGTTTTGTCGGCCGTGTGTGTGTGTGTGTGGTTTTGTCGGCCTGTTGGTGTGTGTGTGTGGTTTTGTCGGCCTGTTGTGTGTGTGTGGTTGGTGTTGTCCTGGTGTGTTGTGGTGTGGGGTTTTTGTCGGGCCGTGTGTGTGTGGTTTTGTGGCCTGGTGTGTGTGTTTGTCGCCTGTGTTTTTGTGTGTGTGGTGCGCCTTTGATGAGGAGCGTCGTAATGAGTGGTCATGAACGCCTTACAGATGAGGTCGTGTGTTTGTAAGGTGTGTGAGGTAGATCAGTGTTATGGGTTTGCCCTGTGTGTGTAGATCTGTGTTTCGTGGTGACAGGTGTAGGAGTCAGTGTGTTATCGAGGTTGACAGTTACGTAGATCAGGTTGTGAATTCCTGTAAGGTGATTTGTTAAGTTGAATGTGCTAGGTAGATCAGTTTTTCCCAAAGTGTGAGGTATCTTTTACTAGTGACAGTGGAGGATCAGTGTGTTATCCGTAACTAATGCTTTACGTAAGGCTGGAGGAAACACTAACTTAAGAAACCACCTGGTGAAGTCATAACAAAATTCCTACCAAGGAATCCCCCCTGCATAGAGTAGGGTGGCCTGTGTGTTGTGGCTTTGCGACTGTGGATGGTTTTTCGGCCTAGTGTTGATGTCCGGAGGTAGTCGTTGCTAATGAATTACAGGACGGATATTCCTTAGATGGCCATAGGATGATATTGCGCCTTATAAGATCGAGGTGGATTTTCGTCCTACATTGTCACCATGGAGGATTCTTCGCCTACTTAAAGAAGTCAGGTGGGTTTTTTCCTCGTGTGTATTTGTCGCCATGTGGTATCTCCGTGACATAAAGAAGCCCGGGGATGTGTCCCTATACATAAGGATCCCAGGTGGGATATTTCCCCCCGACATAAAGAAAACACCGAGATACTCCCCTAACTATAAGACCAGGAGGATATCTCCCCCAACATAAAGAAAACACCAGGAGGATATCTCCCCTAACATAAAGAAAACACCAGGAGGATATCTCCCCTAACATAAAGAAAACACCAGGAGGATATCTCCCCTAACATAAAGAAAACACCAGGAGGATATCTCCTCTAACATAAAGAAAACAGGAGATCTCTCCCATCTAAATATTGGACTGTTAATGGTTCAGTTTGACCTCTCTGTGACCCTCTGCACCGATGCCTTTTCCCAGGTGGGCTAGACTAGCGTTGCCTGCCAGGCAGCCCCGTACTCCTCTCCCGTACATAAACACACCAGCGGAATGTGTAAACCTGCTGATTAGCACAGGGAGAACGGCAGCCATGGTGTTAGACCCCATAGCCCGCAGGCACTCTTCACTAGGTCTACAGTATACTGCTTCAATCTGCAGTACAATCTACTGTCCTCTAGTCTACACCATACTGGCAGTGTTGAGTTCATAAACAAAGTTTAACAAGAGTCGGTGCAAAATACTCAATTTGTCATCTGTCGAATGAGAGGAACCAGTTTGGATGGGGAAGGTGTTTGTCGCAACACTGCTAATGTACGTTTACATGACCGTGTGTTGCTGTGTATTTTCCTACCAGGGTATCGGAGGGAGACAGGCCCCGATGAGAGCGACCAAGCCGGTGAACTCCCGCCGCTACATCGCCACGTTCGACGTGGAGAACACCACTAAGGAAGACTCTGGACGCTACCGCTGCATTGTCCACTCAAACAAGGGCGTGGGCGTGTCCAGTTATGCCGACCTGACTGTCAAACGTAAGTCACGTTCTGCTTGTGCCTCTTAATATTGACCTGCCAAAAAGACAGGTAAAGTTTCCTACACAAATAGGTGTTACGTCAGAGACTACTGAGGCTGTGTACACTGTACAGGATACTGTGCATGTTAGGGTTACACCTATGCATACAGTATCTATGTTTAAGAGCCAAAGAGTTATGAAATAACTTTTCACATTGACTTTTAATCAACTATAATAGATATTTAATTGAGTTAATTTCTTTAACCACTCCCAAATTAAGCATGCTCGCAATCACAAGCCAGTCTGTCATTATATCCAGGAGTGGGCCTCCCTCTCTCTAATCTCCATTGCTCAGGTTCAGCCTCAGTGATTGGCCTCTATTGTACTCTAAATGTCTCTCTCAGCCAGCTCAGTGTGAGGGATAGCTATAATCCTGGACTGCCAGATAGAGACCTGTCAATCACTCTCAAATAGCCCTGCGTGTTTCCACCAGCACACTCTGTCTCTGTGTGCAGCAGGCTCCGGCGGCGGCCTCACTGACAATGTGTCAGAGGAGTGTGTGTGTGTGTGTGTGTGTGTGTGTGTGTGTGTGTGTGTGCATGTTCTACTTTTTATTAGGTACACCACCCCGTTCACGAAAATGGTTAGCTCCTACAGACTATATAAAGCAGGCAGACAGGCATCGAGACATTCAGTTACTGTTCGATTGAACGTTAGAATGGGCAAAACGAGTGACCTGAGTGACTTTGAGCGTGGTATGATCGTCGGTGCCAGGCGCTCCGGTTCCAGTATCTCAGAAATGGCCGGCCAGTATCTCACTCACGACATGTGTAGGGTTTACCTAGAATGGTGCGACAAACAAAAAACATCCAGTCAGCGGCAGTTCTGTGGGCGAAAACAGTTATTTGATGAGAGAGGTCGAAGGAGAATGGCAAGAATCGTGCAAGCTAACAGGCGGGCCACAAACAGGCAAATAATGGCGCAGAACGGCAACTCGTAATGCACAACTCGTCGGTCCTTGTCACGGATGGGCTATTGCAGCAGACGACCATACCGGGTTCCACTCCTATCAGCGTCTCCAGTGGGCACACGATCACCAACACTGGACAATTAAGGAGTGGAAAAACATTGCCTGGTCTGACGAATCCCATTTCCTGTTACGTCATGCTGATGGCAGAGTCAGGATTTGGCATAAGCAGCATGAGTCCATGGCCCCATCCTGTCTGGTGTCAACGATACAGGCTGGTGGCAGTGGTGTAATGGTGTTAGGTCTCTTGATACCAATTGAGCAACGCCTCCATTCCCCGATGAATTCAGGCTGTTCTGGAGGCAAAGGGGGGATCTGACCCAGGTACTAGATGGGTGTACCTAATAAACTGGCCTGTCAATGCAAATGAGCCTTGGCACGTTGCTGTGCCATAGTAAATCTGGTTGTGTAGAGGAACGTACGATGGCCGCTCTTCTCACATCCCTAACAAATACAAACCCAGCTGTGGGCATATAGGACTGAGCCTGAGGTTAACAAGGCTGACCTGAGGCATGTAGAGGAATGGCTGGGGTTATAAATCATTCACATTGTATTGTTAAACCCCCACATGGCCCATCAGTTCCCAGGGAGGGACATTACTATACAACTACTGCCAGGTAGAGGACATTATATGATCTGATAGGATATATTATCCACCTGGTACTCTACCTACTGCCAGGTAGAGGACATTATATGATCTGATAGGATGAACAAAAGCTCCCTTTCTTGAACCATTTAGTAGTAATATCACTGCCTGGAGTTATAACGACTGTTTGTCAATCTCACAGATGTAAAAAAATAATAATAATAATTGCTACAGGCTTAACGTACCATGTCCTCCTCCCTCGACACCCAGTCTTTCCAAGGTGTGCATGGCTAGCACTGCCACACTAGCAACGACAAGCGTGCTCACAGAACGTCCAACATCTCTCTGACTCCATTTTCTTACCCCTCTCCAAATATTGAACCATAATCACTTCACCACACTCATAATGGGACCCAGAAGGAGAGTGTACATGAGCTTCCACAGCCCATGGGACAGGGACCAGTTGGAAGTCATCTGGGGAACTGTGCGGGCTTAGGGGTTGGGTTGCACGGGGACCGACCAGCCAGTAACACTCTATATATAGTCTGTTTAGGGTAGGGCCCTGTGACCACTGGGAGGGTGTGGCTAGCAGCAGGTGCTATCTAAAGGCACAGCTGTGTTTAGTTCATAGTGCCTCTCCAGTCCAGTCCACATGGCTCGCTGCTTGCTTACTCAGCGCTTATGGCTACATGCAGCCATCCAGCGCCACGGCGACAGCTGAGCGCCACAACAACCACACGGCGACCACACGTGGCTCGCTCGCTGCCTTGAGCTGGGTCTTTGAACAAGGGGCACTCTTTTATGACCTCTAGGTTGTTGATTACGTGGGACTTGTAGTTCAACTGTAAAGTGTGACTTGTAGTTCAACTATAAATTGGTGACTTGTAGTTCAACTATAAATGGGTGACTTGTAGTTCAACTGTAAATATATATGAAGTCCCTTTTAATTGTTGGGCAATGTGGTGACGATGGGGATATCACTCCTCCAGAATTTGGCTCAAATACTATTTGTTTTGTTTATACCTCAGCTGCAATTGATTACGCTTGCCTGGCCCAATGGAGTCAGCAGGATAGTCCCAAAAGTGCAAACTATGCCCCTCCGGCACTCTCGACAGACTCAATCAAATGCTCAGTGTTTGAAAGAAAACAAGTACTCTCACCATACAGATTGGTGATGTCTGTAATGTCACCCTCAGCCCCAGCGCTGTATGCTGTTTAGTCATTACTGATGGTCGATACCCACGTGGAGGGGAAAGGGAGCGAGGCCTGACAGTACGATATGGCTCCAACCTTTTTTTGTTTTCCCATTGCCGGGCCCTCCCGAAGCCGTTGAAGGACCTGATGTCTTATTTCTCTTCCTCCCCACAACCCAAACAAAATGACAGAGATGATGTGGTATCGGCTGAGCGGAGATGGAGACTCGTCTCGCCACCCGAGCCCCTGCTAGAACACCTTACAAGCCCCGTCGTCTAACTCCGCCCCACAGCCAAATTGAACTGTCACTTCATCTCAAAGTTAATCTGAGGCGACGATGAGTTGGCATCGCGCTCTCTCTCTCTCTCTCTCTGTTCTCTCTCTCTCTGCTTCTAGAGACAGTAAGATGTTTTTATTTGGCGTGTGAGTGTCTACACCTGTTTTCTGTCTGACAACAGATAAATCAGTCAGTACACCAGGGATCAGGACAGCTGTCTTGACTGCCAAAGAAAGACGGTTAAATCATCCAGGCAACCTTTGTCTGAGTGGCTGGTCTCTACCATCAAAATAGAATGAATTGTACATCTATGCTCTATCAGGAGTCGGCATTTCTTTAAAAACGTTCATGGGGGGGAAAAATCTGTTCCCAAGTATTCCCTCAAATAAAAGCAATGTGATATTTTTATTTTCAAATACAATCTCTTTTTGCTCTTAGTTGTGGACAATTTGCAGTGTACAAATTATTATAATTATTTTCCGACACCCTGACCATTCACTCCGACAAATATCGTCCCGCTGCTGAATCTAGTTGCCTAGCTACCCCTGGTCTATATGTAACAGACCTGGATTCAAATGTGTTGTCTTTGTAAAAATACCTGGGCTTGTCTGGTGACTGGCGCAATGGGACCAATACAATAGTACCTCAAGTGCAAACCCTGCTGGCATTCCAGGCAGGCTCAATGAAACGTTTAAAGTATTTGAAAGAAAATAAAGACTATGTAAACCCAGGTATTATATGTATAGAGTGATGTAAACAGAGAAAACGGAAGAGGAAGGGGTATGAGATGCAGGGAGGGTCAACAAGCGGGCGACCATGACGTCTGTCTGGTCTGTCACATGCTGTGAGAGATGTCCTGAGACTGCTGGGTAACTCCTGGGGCCATCATCGAGAGAGCGAGAGGGAAGAGAGAACGAGAGAATTTAGCTTGACCGATGCCACCACACGACCCACAACAATCTACTTTCCTGGGAGGGTTTCCAATAATGACACTTACATTGACTCCAGTGTGTATAATACACTGCTCAAAAAAATAAAGGGAACACTTAAACAACACAATGTAACTCCAAGTCAATCACACTTCTGTGAAATCAAAACTGTCCACTTAGGAAGCAACACTGATTGACAATACATTTCACATGCTGTTTGTGCAAATGGAATAGACAACAGGTGGAAATTATAGGAAATTAGCAAGACACCCCCAATAAAGAAGTGGTTATGCAGGTGGTGACCACAGACCACTCTCAGTTCCTATGCTTCCTGGCTGATGTTTTGGTCACTTTGAATGCTGGCGGTGCTTTCACTCTATGGTAGCATGAGACGGAGTCTACAACCCACACAAGTGGCTCAGGTAGTGCAGCTCCTCCAGGATGGCACATCAATGCGAGCTGTGGCAAGAAGTTTGCTGTGTCTGTCAGCGTAGTGCCAGAGCATGGAGGCGCTACCAGGAGACAGGCCAGTACATCAGGAGACGTGGAGGAGGCCGTAGGAGGGCAACAACCCACAGCAGGACCGCTACCTCCGCCTTTGTGCAAGGAGGAGCGGAGGAGCACTGCCAGAGCCCTGCAAAATGACCTCCAGCAGGGCCACAAATGTGCATGTGTCTGCTCAAAACGGTCAGAAACAGACTCCATGAGGGTGTATTGAGGGCCCGACGTCCACAGGTGGGGTTGTGCCTTACAGCCCAACACCGTGCAGGACGTTTTGGCATTTGCCAGAGAACCCAAGATTGGCAAATTTCGCCACTGGCGCCTGTGCTCTTCACAGATGAAAGCAGGTTCACACTGAGCACATGTGACAGACGTGACCGAGTCTGGAGACGCCGTGGAGAATGTTCGTGCCTGCAACATCCTCCAGCATGACCGGTTTGGCGGGGGGTCATCATGGTTGGGGTGGGCATTTTTTTGGGGGGCGCAACCCCTTTCATGTGCTCGCCAGAGGTACCCTGACTGCCATTAGGCCAGAGAGATCTCAGACCCCTTGTGAGACCATATGCTGGGTGGTTTGGGCCCCCTGGTTCCTCCTAATGAAAGGGACAATGCTAGACCTCAGTGGCGGGAAGCATTCCTAAAAAGAAAAAGGATTGATGAGGATGGCCCCCCGCCCCGTGAAAATTGGAACGGGAAAATTTTTCCCCCCCCCCCCAAAATTAAAAATCCCGGGAGTATAAAAAACCTGCCCCCGTTAAATCAAGGAAGACAAAACGTAAAGGAAAAGAAACAAAATTGTAGACTGCACCAGGCGGGGAAGACTGAATCGCAATAGGTAAACAGCTTGGTTTGAAGAAATCAACTGTGGGAGCAATTATTAGGAAATGGAAGGCATACAAGACCACTGATAATCTCCCTCGATCTGGGGCTCCACGCAAGATCTCACCCCGTGGGGTCAAAATTATCACAAGACCGGTGAGCAAAAATCCCAGAACCACACGGGGGGACCTAGTGAATGACCTGCAGAGAGCTGGGACCAAAGTAACAAAGCTTACCATCAGTAACATACTACGCCGCCAGGGACTTAAATCCTGCAGTGCCAGACGTGTCCCCCTGCTTAAGCCAGTACATGTCCAGGCCCGTGCTAGAGTGCATTTGGATGATCCAGAAGAGGATTGGGAGAATGTCATATGGTCAGATGAAACCAAAATATAACTTTTTGGTTAAAAACTCAACTCGTCGTGTTTGGAGGACAAAGAATGCTGAGTTGCATCCAAAGAACACCATACCTACTGTGAAGCATGGGGGTGGAAACATCATGCTTTGGGGCTGTTTTTTCTGCAAAGGGACCAGGACGACTGATCCGTGTAAATGAAAGAATGAATGGGGCCATGTATCGTGAGATTTTGAGTGAAAACCTCCTTCCATCAACAAGGGCATTGAAGATGAAACGTGGCTGGGTCTTTCAGTATGACAATGTTCCCAAACACACCGCCCGGGCAACGAAGGAGTGGCTTCGTAAAAAGCATTTCAAGGTCCTGGAATGGCCTAGCCAGTCTCCAGATCTCAACCCCATAGAAAATCTTTGGAGGGAGTTGAAAGTCTGTGTTGCCCAGCGACAGCCCCAAAACATCACGCTCTAGAGGAGATCTGCATGGAGGAATGGGCCAAAATACCAGCAAACCGTGTGTGAAAAACCTTGTGAAGACTTACAGAAAACGTTTGACCTGTGTCATTGCCAACAAAGGGTATATAACAAAGTATTGAGAAACTTTTGTTATTGACCAAATACTTATTTTCCACCATAATTTGCAAATAAATTCATTAAAAATCCTACAATGTGATTTTCTGGATTTTTTTTCCTCATTTTGTCTGTCATAGTTGACGTGTACCTATGATGAAAATTACAGGCCTCTCTCATCTTTTTAAGTGGGAGAACTTGCACAATTGGTGGCTGACTAAATACTTTTTTTCCCCACTGTACATTGACTCCAGTGTGTATAATACACTGCTCAAAAAAATAAAGGGAACACTTAAACAACACAATGTAACTCCAAGTCAATCACACTTCTGTGAAATCAAACTGTCCACTTAGGAAGCAACACTGATTGACAATACATTTCACATGCTGTTGTGCAAATGGAATAGACAACAGATGGAAATTATAGGCATTTAGCAAGACACCCCCAATAAAGAAGTGGTTATGCAGGTGGTGACCACAGACCACTTCTCAGTTCCTATGCTTCCTGGCTGATGTTTTGGTCACTTTTGAATGCTGGCGGTGCTTTCACTCTAGTGGTAGCATGAGACGGAGTCTACAACCCACACAAGTGGCTCAGGTAGTGCAGCTCCTCCAGGATGGCACATCAATGCGAGCTGTGGCAAGAAGGTTTGCTGTGTCTGTCAGCGTAGTGTCCAGAGCATGGAGGCGCTACCAGGAGACAGGCCAGTACATCAGGAGACGTGGAGGAGGCCGTAGGAGGGCAACAACCCAGCAGCAGGACTGCTACCTCCGCCTTTGTGCAAGGAGGAGCAGGAGGAGCACTGCCAGAGCCCTGCAAAATGACCTCCAGCAGGCCACAAATGTGCATGTGTCTGCTCAAACGGTCAGAAACAGACTCCATGAGGGTGGTATGAGGGCCCGACGTCCACAGGTGGGGGTTGTGCTTACAGCCCAACACCGTGCAGGACGTTTGGCATTTGCCAGAGAACACCAAGATTGGCAAATTCGCCACTGGCGCCCTGTGCTCTTCACAGATGAAAGCAGGTTCACACTGAGCACATGTGACAGACGTGACAGAGTCTGGAGACGCCGTGGAGAATGTTCTGCTGCCTGCAACATCCTCCAGCATGACCGGTTTGGCGGTGGGTCAGTCATGGTGTGGGGTGGCATTTCTTTGGGGGGCCGCACAGCCCTCCATGTGCTCGCCAGAGGTAGCCTGACTGCCATTAGGTACCGAGATGAGATCCTCAGACCCCTTGTGAGACCATATGCTGGTGTGGTTGGCCCTGGGTTCCTCCTAATGCAAGACAATGCTAGACCTCATGTGGCTGGAGTGTGTCAGCAGTTCCTGCAAGAGGAAGGCATTGATGCTATGGACTGGCCTGCCCGTTCCCCAGACCTGAATCCAATTGAGCACATCTGGGACATCATGTCTCGCTCCATCCACCAACGCCACGTTGCACCACAGACTGTCCAGGAGTTGGCGGATGCTTTAGTCCAGGTCTGGGAGGAGATCCCTCAGGAGACCATCCGCCACCTCATCAGGAGCATGCCCAGGCGTTGTAGGGAGGTCATACAGACACGTGGAGGCCACACACACTACTGAGCCTCATTTTGACTTGTTTTAAGGACATTAGTTTTTTCCACTTTAATTTTGAGGGTGACTCCAAATCCAGACCACCATGGGTTGATACATTTGATTTCCATTGATAATTTTTGTGTGATTTTGTTGTCAGCACATTCAACTATGTAAAGAAAAAAGTATTTAATAAGATTATTTCATTCATTCAGATCTAGGATGTGTTGTTTAAGTGTTCCCTTTTTTTTTTGTTGAGCAGTGTATATCTGAAGTCTATAAAACACAGTCCTGAGTCAGACTTCAACCCCAGTGGACACATTACAGACAGAGGTCTAGGGACGTATTTCACACAGCGTCTCATAGTAGCAGTTCTGATGTAGGATCAGGTCCCCTTGTCCATCTCATTCATTTAGAACGTAAAGTTACAAATGGTCCTAGATCAGCACTGCTACTGTGAGACGCTTGATACATACAGCCCCTGGGCAGGCATTCTGTATTTTCCATCTCACGGAAAAGGGACAGGTTATGAGGCCAGGCTGACAGGAAGACAGATGAGCCATTACTTAACCAGTAATTGGTATTCTCACTGGTTCCAATCGATATCAGAGGCCATGGTGTGTGTGTGTGTGTGTGTGTGTGTGTGTGTGTGTGTGAACTACACACACCTTCGAAGGCGGCGACAACGCTCCGAGGTCCTGTTTTTCTTCCCACCGGAGAACTCCTGGAAATCATGATGTTTCAGTATTGTATGAAAGCAACGTCCTAATATACTGTATATTCAGTAAACTGAAGGTGTATGTCCTCACTCCTCATATGTACTTCCTGTATAAAGAACAGTGTTATTGGAAAGGAAATCTGGATAACTCAACCAGACTTTTCAGTCTTTCTGAGATCAAATCCTCACAGGGACATTAGTCACTGATATCCAAGTCTTATCTATACAGTTAGTAAATGCACCCGAGTTCCCAGACTTGGTCTCACCATGACACCTGGCTGGCCTGTCGGACAGGCTATCATCAGGGTAAGTACTAATTATAGGCTAAGTGTTGGGGGGGGGGTTGCGTGTGTGACTCAGAAGGATTGACAGTCCCATTTTTGTGAGACACTCATCACGCAAGATCAGAGGGAGAGAGAGGGGCAATATCAAACTTCAAAGGCCAACACTGGGCTGTGTTTAGACCTGAGACGCTGACGTGCTTAATAGTCATAGATGTAGGACAGCGTCACAGGTCCATGGAAGTTGAGTCAGTCACTCACTAGACCTGACAAAAAAACCTGACCCTAATAGAACAATAGACAAAACATTCACCCTCACAATGGACAGGAATTGGCTCATTGTCTTATCGTTGGCGATTGAACACGATAGACTGGGTTTGGTACAGTGGATCCTCCTCAGAGGTCTCTTCAGGAAGACGGAGAGAGAGCTGGGTAGAGGAGAGGGAGATTGTTGAAATGGGTCACATGAGAAAAGGAGCAGGACCAGTGGGGCTGATGGGTAATGGATTCAGGTCAGCTGTTCTATTAGCGAAGGTCAGGAAATTAATTAGTTTAACTCATTACCTCCCCTTGTTTCGCCGTGCTCTCTGCCTCAGCCCGGAACTCCCGGCTTTGTGAGAGGCACCGACACCACAATCACTTAATTGCTCCTACTTAAGATTTAAGACGCCGATATCATGCTAACATGCTTTCTATTTCTCTACAGACTCAGGTTGAGTGTAATTGAGAATGTTTCTCTCTGTTCTGCTCTGTTTGCAGAGTGAACCAGTAGTATTTGCATAGTTTTAGTGTGTTTCTCTACACACTCTGCAGGTTTAGCGCAGAGAGCTATTTGCCATCTCCCTTCATCAAGAAACAGAACAGATATTTTGCAATATAACATCAATGTAATATCAGTTTGTGGGACCATATCAATGACAGCCCCTAGGGAATTATTATAAAGTGTCTCTGGGGATAAGATAATTATTATATTACAAAGAATTAACATTTGGTAGATAAACTCAGTATTTATCCACCAATTGAAATGACCATTTAAGACTTCTTATCTAACACTCATCTCTTCCTCTTGTCCCCCAGAGCCCCCGGTGCCCATCGCTCCGCCCCAGCTCACTGCTGTGGGCGCCACCTACCTGTGGATCCAGCTCAACGCCAACTCCATCAACGGTGACGGGCCCATCGTGGAGCGGGAGGTAGAGTACCGCACGGTGTCGGGCAGCCTCATCGACAACCAGCCCGTGGACAAGACCACGCACAAGATCGGCCACCTGGACCCCGACACTGAGTACGAGATCAGCGTGCTGCTCACCCGGCCCCTGGACGGAGGAACGGGGGCCCCAGGACCCCCCCTGAGGGCCAAGACCAAGTGTGCTGGTGAGTGCCAAGACGCGCACGGATGCAGACGCGAGCACACACACACACACACCATGGAAGTGGGAGAAGGCCCTTTCTCCATGTATACAGTATAGTGTTGTACAGTTACATACTAGCAGTTACATAGTAGCAGTTACATAGTAGCAGTTACATAGTACAGTTACATACTAGCAGTTACATAGTAGCAGTTACATAGTACAGTTACATAGTACAGTTACATAGTACAGTTACATAGTAGCAGTTACATACTAGCAGTTACATAGTAGCAGTTACATAGTACAGTTACATACTAGCAGTTACATAGTAGCAGTTACATAGTAGCAGTTACATAGTACAGTTACATACTAGCAGTTACATAGTAGCAGTTACATAGTAGCAGTTACATAGTACAGTTACATACTAGCAGTTACATAGTACAGTTACATACTAGCAGTTACATAGTAGCAGTTACATAGTAGCAGTTACATAGTAGCAGTTACATAGTACAGTTACATAGTACAGTTACATAGTACAGTTACATAGTAGCAGTTACATACTAGCAGTTACATAGTAGCAGTTACATAGTAGCAGTTACATAGTAGCAGTTACATACTAGCAGTTACATAGTAGCAGTTAAATACTAATCAAATCAGATTTTATTTGTCACATGCGCCGAATACAACAGGTGTAGACCTTACCGTGAAATGCTTACTTACAAGCCGTTAACCAACAATGGAGTTCAAGAAATAGAGTTAAGAAAATATTTACTAAATAAACAAAAGTAAAATAATAAAATAAAATAAAAAAGTAACACAAGAAAATTACATAACAATAACGAGACTATATACAGGGGGTACCGGTACCGAGTCGATGTGCAGGGGTACCGGTTAGTCAAGGTCATTTGTAAAGTGACTATGTATAGATAATAAACAGTGAGTAGCAGCAGTGTAAAAACAAAATGGGGGCTGGGGGTGGGGTAGAACCTGTTAAGGAACCTTTCGGTCCTAGACTTAGCTCTCTGGTACCGCTTGCCGTGAGGTAGCAGAGAGAACATTCTATGACTTGGGTGACTGTCTTTGACAATTTTTTGGGCCTTCCTCTGACACCGCCTAGTATATAGGTCCTGGATGGCAGCTGTATAACTTTTTGAGGATCTGGGGACCCATGCCAAATCTTTTCAGTCTCCTGAGGGGGAAAACGTGTTGTCGTGCCCTCTTCACAACTGTCTTGGTGTGTTTGGACCATGATAGTTTGTTGGTGATGTGGACACCAAGGAACTTGAAACTCTCGACCCGCTCCACTTCAGCACCGTCGATGTTAATGGGGGCCTGTTCGGCCCTCCCTTTTCCTATAGTCCACGATCAGCTCCTTTGTCTTACTCACATTGAGGGAGAGGTTGTTATCCTGGCACCACACTGCCAGGTCTCTGACCTCCTCCCTATAGGCTGTCTCATCGTTGTCGGTGATCAGGCCTACCACTGTTGTGTCGTCAGCAAACTTAATGATGATGTTGGAGTCGTGCTTGGAACGCAGTTGTGGGTGAACAGGGAGTATAGGAGGGGACTAAGCACACACCCCTGAGGGACCCCAGTGTTGAGGATCAGCGTGGCAGATGTATTGTTGCCTACCTTTACCACCTGGGGGTGGCCCGTCAGGAAGTCCAGGATCCAGCTGCAGAGGGAGGTGTTTAGTCCCATGGTCCTTTGCTTAGTGATGAGCTTTGTGGTCGCTATGGTGTTGAACGCTGAGCTGTAGTTAATGAACAACATTCTCACATAGGTGTTCCTTTTGTCCAGGTGGGAAAGGGCAGTGTGGAGTGCGATTGAGTCATCTGTGGATCTGTTGGAGCGGTATGCGAATTGGAGTGGTTCTAGGGTTTCCGGCATGATGCTGTTGATGTGAGCCATGGCCATCCTTTCAAAGCACTTCATGGCTACCGACGTGATGGCTACGGGCAGTAATCATTTAGGCAGTTGACCTTCGCTTTCTTGGGCACAGGGACTATGGTGGTCTGCTTGAAACATGTTGGTATTACAGACTCGGTCAGGGAGAGGTTGAAAATGTCAGTGAAGACACTTGCCAGTTGGTCCGCGCATGCTTTGAGTACACGTCCTGTTAATCCGTCTGGCCCCGCGGCTTTGTGAATGTTGACATGTTTAAAGGTCTTGCTCACATTGGCTATGGAGAGCGTGATCACACAGTCGTCCGGAACAGCTGGTGCTATCATTCATGCTTCAGTGTTGCTTGCCTCGAAGCGAGCATAAAAGGTATTTAGCTTGTCTGTAAGGCTCGCATCACTGGGAAGCTCGCGGCTGGGTTTCCCTTTTTAGTCTGTAATATTTTTCAAGCCCTGACACATCCGACGAGCATCAGAGCCAGTGTAGTAGGATTCAATCTCAGTCCTGTATTGACGCTTTGCCTGTTTTATGGTTCGTCTGAGGGCATAGCAGGATTTCTTATAAGTGTCAGGATTATTGTCCCGCTCCTTGAAAGCGGCAACTCTAGCCTTTAGCTCGGTGCGGATGTTGCCTGTAATCCATGGCTTCTGGTTGGGAAATGTACGTATCACAGCTTATCATGAGATACTCTACCTCAGGCGAGCAATACCTTGAGACTTCTTTAATATTAGACATCGCGCACCAGCTGTTATCGATAAATAGATACACACCCCGCCCCTTGTCTTACCAGACGTAGCTGCTCTGTCCTGCTGATACACAGAGAAGCCTGCCATGTGATCCATGCGAATGTCTGAGTTACGTTCTCATGGATGGATATCACGTTCCGCCCATCGGGCCTTATCAATCAATAAAATTGACTGTGGCAAATCAGCCCCAGCCTAAAACCCCAAACAGCAAGTAATGCAGATGTAGAAGCACGGTGGCTAGGAAAAACTCCCTTGAAAGGCAGAAACCTAGAGAGGAACCAGGCTCTGAGGGGTGGCCAGTCCCCTTCTGGCTGTGCTCGGTGTAGATTATAACAGTACATGGCCTTTAAGGCCAGAGATGACCAGCAGTGTCAAATAATAATCACAGTGGTTATAGAGGTTGCAACAGGTCAGTACATCAGGAGTAAATGTCACTTGGCTTTTCATAGCCGGGCATTTAGAGGTTGAAATGGCAGGTGCGGTAGAGAGAGTTGAAAACAGCAGGTCTGGGACAAGGTAGCACGTCCGATAAACAGGTCAGGATTCCATAGCCGCAGGCAGAAGAGTTGAAACTGGAGCAGCAGCACGACCAGGTGGACTGGGGACAGCAAGGAGTCATCAGGCCAGGTAGTCCTGAGGCATGGTCCTAGGGCTCAGGTCCTCGGGAGGGGAGGGAGAGAGAGAGAATTAGAGGGAGCATACTTACATTCACACAGGACACCGGATAAGACAGGAGAATAACACCAGATATAACAGACTGACCCTAGCCCCCCGACACATAGACTATTGCAGTATAGATACTGGAGGCTGAGATGGGGGTCGGGAGTCACTGTGGCCCCGTCCGACGATATCCCCAGACAGGGCCAACCAGGCAGGATATAACCCCACCCACTTTGCCAAGCACAGCCTCCACACCACCAGAGGGATATCAACCGATATCAACCACCAACCTACTACCCTGAGACAAGGCTGAGTATAGCCCACGAAGATCTCCTCCACTGCACGAGCCAGAGGGGGCGACAAACCGGACAGGAAGATCACGTCAGTGACTCAACCCACTCAAGTGACGCACCCCTCCTAGGGACGGCATGGAAAGCACCGGTAAGCCAGTGACTCAGCCCCTGTAATAGGGTCAGAGGCAGAGAAATCCCAATGGAGAGACGGGAACCGGCCAGGCAGAGACAGCAAGGGCGGTGTGTCGCTCCAGTGCCTTTCCGTTCACCTTCGCACCCCTGGGCCAGACTACACTCAATCATAGGACCTACTGAAGAGATGAGTCTTCAGTAAAGACTTAAAGATTTTGCGTCTCTCACATGGATAGGTAGACCATTCCATAAAACTGGAGCTATATAGGAGAAAGCCCTGCCTCCAGCTGTTTTCTTAGAAATTCTAGGGACAATAAGGAGGCCTGCGTCTTGTGACCGTAGTGTACATGTAGGTATGTAGGGCAGGACCAAATTGGAGAGATACGTAGGAGCAAGCCCATGTAATGCTTTGTAGGTTAGCACTAAAACCTTAAAAGCAGCCCTAGCCTTAACAGGAAGAAGCCAGTGTAGAGAGGCTAGCACGGGACAAATATGATCTAAACCAGGCAAGAACTTGTCAGTGTAAACCAATTAAGGTTTCCAATCTCTCCAAAAGAATGTGGTGATCAATGGTGTCAAAAGCAGCACTAAGGTCTAGGAGCACGAGGACAGATGCAGAGCCTTGGTCTGACGCCATTAAAAGGTAATTTACCACCTTCACAAGAGCAGTCTCAGTGCTATGATGGGGTTTAAAATGAGACTGAAGCGTTTCGTATACATTGTTTGTATTCAGGAAGGCAGTGAGTTGCTGCACAACAGCTTTTTCTAAAATTATTTTAAATAACAAAAGGTAAATAATAAAATAAAATAAAAAAATTTAAAAAAAACCTTAAAAATTACTAACAAATAACCAAAAAAAGACTAAGAAAAAGGGGGAAAACCCCTTTTTTTTTTTTTTAAAAAAAAAAAAAAAAAACCAAAAAAAAAAAAAAAAAACAAAAAATTCCCAAAAAAATTTGGGGTGCCAGGGGTAGGGGGGTTTAGTCAGGTCTTTTGTAAAGTGCCCAGTTAGAAATAAACATGGTAGAAAGCAGTGTAAAAAAAAAGGGGGGCTGGGGGGGGGGTGGGAACCTTTTAAAGGGAAACCTTTTCGGTCCAAAGACTTAGCTCTCTTGTCCCCGCTTGCCTTTAAGGTAGCAGAGAGAACTTTCTATCTTGGGTGACTGTTTTTGCCCAATTTTTTTTGGGCCTTTCCTCTGAAAAACCGCCTAGTATTGGTCCCGGGGTTTGCAGTTTTATAATTTTTTGGGATCGGGGACCCATCCCAAAAATTTTTTTCAGTCTCCTGGGGGGGAAAACTTTTTTCCCCGGGGCCCTCTTCAAAACTGTCTTGGTGGTTTGGGCCCATAAATATTTTGTTGGGTGGGGGGGAACACCAAGGAAAATT